ATTTATATATTTAAGACAAAATTACAAGAAATATTCAAAGAAATACAACAGCAGCATATATATAAAATTGATTATATTAATAAATAATAATATATAGAGAGAAAAAGAGTGAATATATTTTTTTACTAATTATAATCATTTAAGTTTATATTACGTGTGAAAGTAATATGCGCTATTAGAGTCAGAAAGGATTGCAAAGACTAAAATATCGCTCGTTACGCGCGAGATGCGAACAATGCAGCCATTTTCGAGATGAAATGAGAAAGATGGGCTCCTTGAAGAAAAAGTGATAGCATAAACAACGCGATGAATGTCTCGAGTGAAAAAGAGATTATCGCAGGTATGTTACAATCTCGTCGTGGGCGAGATAAAGAGGAAGCAACGCGAGAAAGTGAGGCGAGCGAAACAAGAAGCTACAAAATTGTTTGCCGGGGTACGGAAGGACAGACAGCCAAGCGCGACAGAGAAAACGAAACGCTTAGCAGGCGAGGATCTGATTTACTTGCTGCAGGTGGATGTAGATTTCCGCCGTCGTTGCTGCTCGTAGAAACCCGACGCCTCTGAAACACGACGTTGCAGGAAGCTCTCGAAATTTAGCGGTGTTACCCCGACGACTGGTTTGCCGAAATTTCACAATGCACGATGAAAATGTTCGTCTGTGAATAGAAAACGAGACGAACATTTTACATTTTTGTTTATTCCACAAAAGATTGAACTGTTACACTCTATTGATATAATATTGCACAGAAATATTAATAAAACCATTTTTTTTTAATTTCTCTTAAAATTGACTTGCAATATATTGATGATAGATTGTATACTCCATATAACATTAAATGCAATAATCAATCTGATTCTGAATCAATTAAAATCGTCTTTCAATGAATAAATATGACAAATATTGGTTTTTAATTGGGTTTAAAAAACCAACAAGATAGATCTTAAAAGTAATTTTTTTTTAAATAAATGCAAAATTAAAACTCATCTTTCTTTTAATATTTTCCCATTTTTATTCCTGTGGATAAAACAATAAAACTACGTAATTTCTCCATTTTACTATTCTACCATTTACTGTTTTCTAAATTTTACTTCGGGCAACAGCAAATATAGAAGGTGGTTATATACATTCTCTTTTTCGCAAAAACGGCGGTAAATGGAGCAAATGAATTTTGATCTTATCGGTGCGCGGTTATTCTGGATAAGAATAGTGCAGCTTTTATCTAGCTGAGTCTAGGAATTTTGAGAATCTCTAGTAACATCGGAATATGTAAAATCTGATGTTTATGAGACGCAGGCAATCGTGCAAAGAAGTAATTGGCACAAAGCTCTTTTTTAAGAAATATCGGATGTATTCAAGAGAAGTAAATTTACGAAAGCAGTTGAAATACAATTAATAGGAAATAATTTATTCACAATTTTTTTCCTTTCTTTTAAATCACTTATAAGTCTTTATAATTTTTTTTATATTTTTAGAATAATATTTCTTTTTTTTTTATCGATACGCTAACAATATATTAGTAATATTAATAAACTGAAAATTTGATCCAAATATTACTGCGAGAATACATTGGCTGAACTTTATTTAAAGAACACTATTTTGAACTTGCTGCTTGGTATCGAGATATACCGTTCTGGAGATCTCTCAAGAGTACCTTAGACCAAAGTGCACGATAAAAGCACTTCGGGCAAAAACTTAGCTTGTCATATCCTGAAGTCGAATGAAGGGAAAAGACATCCTGTAAGACATTGACTTAAAAATTTGCGAGCAAAACTCTTATAATGTCAAACACAACGAGAACTTCTTTCAGTAAAATAAGAGGTCTCAACCGACACACAATGAATAGTACAGTACATGAGGTTATCACGCTTTAAAAGAAACCTGAAGAAAGAAGTCACGTTATACACATATATCAACGTCATAAAAGAACACTTTAAACTCTTATTGAAATACTCCTGTTTGAATGCCGCATAAGATACTAGTATTGTATATATACCATCAAGTTATTGCATCTGAAATGCAATCCGCATTCAACAAAAGAAGCATAAAATGTACGAAATAGTATCTCTCTTCTGTGTAGAGTATATTATTCCATTATTACGTGAATTCTTTTAAGTGCTCTCATGTTACATTTAAGCTGTCTGTCTGAATTTAATCTCACGTTTATATGAAATATATTATTCAAATTAGACAAGTAATGAGTAACTTTTAGATTCTTAGAAAATATTCAATACATAGTCGGTAGGAGCTTTTAATTACAAGAATTATTTTATTTGAAAAGCAGAATAACTAATATATTCATTTATTATATAATTAAAATCAAGACATTTACCGATTTTTTAAATAATCTAAGAAGAATATTATTAATATTCCAATGTATTTGTGACAATCTGCGTAGTAGCGAGCGATATCTAATTCAATAAAAAAACAAACAGCCTTAAAAAGGAATATAAATATCAATTAGGCTCGCTAAATTAAGGCGAATTATTTTACGAATCAAGTTATCTTTATTTTCGTCTGAATGCAGTAAGAGTTAAATCTCTTAATTTAATTACCGGATATCGAAAGCTAAAAAAGTGAATGAGAGAAAGTTAAAAAGGCGCATACGCGAGAATTGTTCGCATCGCGTACATTTTTATGAATGAAATTAGCATACTCCATTTAGTCGCGCGCCTTTTCGTGCGCTTCACTCATGTATCGTTACTTTATTCGATTGCGTTAAAGTGTGAGTTACGATTCTCGGAGATAATACATCTTTTTTTTCTTTTGAGTATAGGTATTTGAATGCTGTGATTAAAAGCGGCATGAATTGTATTACGGCGCTCGCTTAAAAAAAGTAATAAAAAGATATAAAACAATTACATGAGAAATTACCTTTAATGAATAGTATGAACGCCAGTATTGCATTTAGTTGTTGAAAGCGTATAGATTTTACAAAATTTTTAGTAAATTATTTCACGTCATTCTGTCTCAAAACACTTAAACTGTAGAATAGCGATAGCGATATATCTCATAAAACTTCTTTATTTGATTTATCTAAGGATCTTTGAACAAATTCAAGACACTCTGACTATCTAACTAACAAAACATTTTACACAAATATACTTCCTTTTTGAGAGCGATTTGTTATTCGATATTATATTATTGTTTTAGTTACTGGAGCGTCTACGGGAGAGGCTGAGGACCCGCGGTGGAGCACGTATAGCACCCGAAAAACGAGTCGATCCTCATCGCCGCGATCCTGGCCGTCCTCGAGTCTGGAACATGCCGCGAGGGAAAGCAGACCCTCGAACGGCAAGCTCTCGGAAACTACACCTTGGAGCGTAGACAGATCGAACCCCGGAATTCGATCGGATCCGAATTTCCTAAGAACGGTGGTTGAGAGATCCGAGGAAGACGAGGACGAGAGGAAGATACGGCAGTCACAGGGGAGCAATGACATCGAGGACGCGAGGACTGCGCGCTATAACCCGTCCATCTCGTCCGTGAGCGACAAAATAAGCCAGACAGATCCGTCCAATCGGATTTCCATCGAGTCGTCGTCCCCGCAGTCATCGACGGTTGACTATCACCTCGCGAAAATTTCATCGGTTCCTGGAAGCTTTCATGACGTAATTCGTACCAAATCTCATAGCTAGTAGCGATTGTTCGAAAATTTGGTCGTGATTAAGGCTACAAATAATCCCAAATAATGTTAAACTAATGATTTTCTCATATATATATTTTTTATTTCAAAATCTGAGTTTTTGAATTAAATTAAAATTTTAAGTGCCAATAATCGCATCAATTATTCGAAATCTTTTACTGACAATTAAATAAGATAGAAAGAGCTCATAAAGATATTCGTACAAATTTTCAAATTTTTTACGAATCTCTGCTGGAATCAAATAAATCTACTTATAATATAATCATGGGTACATTAAACAATAAAATATCGGTGTTAGACTATATGTATAACATGGATTCCTTCACGCGATATCTCTCATCGTAACAACGACATAATAGTCGTAATTATTCAGCACCGCTTCCAATATCGTAATTCGAGCGATAACTATAATTTAGCATTGTCGAAATACCAATTGCCCGAAGCGAAATTGGACTTCCGTTTAATTAACGGTTTGATATCTTGGTATTAAGAGCTTATAGTCTATTGATCGTATAAATTTTCAATCTTGCGCAGCTCAAATTAACGCGACACGCACGCGGCGATAAAAACCGCCGTGAGAAGTTTTCAAAATTACTCGTAAAAGAGGAAAGATCTTTCACTAAATCACAAATTTTTTATTTGTTGAAACGCTGTTGTATACATTATGAAAGAGTCGTATACTGCTTCAGGCGTGACACGATGTTATAAATTTAAATGTGATTTTACAATGTGTACAGATAGTGGCGACGTCCGAGACGCGACTATTATCTAAGACGCTTTCGCGCGAGAACTTGAAAAATACGATACCGATGACGACCTCCATCGCGAAAGACATCATGATGCCACGACGTCAGATGAGACACGTTCCGGACAAATGCGACAAGTTTAAAATCGGAGAGCTAGCAAAGAGGGAATTTTATAGCCCGAATTATCCGGATCAATATCCAAACCTCACCGACTGTATTCGAGTTTTGGAAGGTAAGTGGTTTTGTTATAATATAAATAATTAAGTTTTTGAACTGAAAAATAACAAATAAAAATTGACAGGAAAAATAGAACCTTAATAATAATTTTGTCGATAATTGCAATAAGTAATATTTGTATAATAATAAATATTTTATTTGACCGCATAATAAATATGGAAAAGGAAAATAAAACATGATCTGCAATTAAAGCGAATTTTGTGTTTGCGAAGACACTATAATATTTGAATTAATCGTCGAAGATAAATAATTTAGCTGGCAATCGCGGTTTGTGTTAAACCGCCGCGTTTGCAACGCTGACTGGAATATCGTGAGTGCAATCACTTTTGCGGCGATGGTTCGATGATCAATAATCGATTCCCCACACGTACATATCGTATCTCTCCGAGAAATCGATTTTCAAGCTTCGAGGGAACTTTTACAAGATTGCCCGCGGTAAGAACACGCTAGCCAGATTTCACTTTACTGCCGCGCACCGTTCGCCGATAATGCGAAGAAAAAAGGCGAGCGTGTCAGAAAGGTGAACTCTTTCTAGACGAGGGGAACCTTTGATCCGCGATTCTCTCGTATCTCGGAGCAAATGTTTTGAACAAACATCATTTCATTTTGAGTAAAATCCTGGCTAAGTAAAGAGCGTTAGACGCGACTTATTTTTCGTGCATGGAACATATAATAGGGTGATCAGGGGTTATCACTGATGGTCTCCAAAATATAAACATAATATACTATGTACATTATTACAATCCACATCTCTATTACAAAATTTTGTCACAAAATGTGACATGTGCTATCTTATGTATGCTAGATTTTTTACTTATTATACTAACAATACTCATATAATATTAAATTATACATCGATAATTTATCTTGTCCAGTGACTTTATAATGATGGATCAAAATTTGCAGACATATTTTTACATTAATTTGTAACAAATGATGAACATGGAATACGATTTAATTTCTTGATAAAAATCTTTGTAAAATAGCTAACTATTAGATTGAAAGATACGGTACAACTGCAATTGTAGAACTAAACAAAGAAAACTCCATAAAACGATTCATTGAAAAATAACAATATTTATCTACAAATATTTTTTTAGTTTTTAAAAAAGAAGATGTCAGACACGATTTCAAACATGATATTTCTGAACAATACGCTACAATATTTTTCTTACTTAAGTCAAGTAATAATAAAAACATAAATGATAAGAAAAATATTTGGAATTATTTGAAATAATTTGTTTAGTTGATGATGGATTATGATGCATAAAGCTGATCGAGGAATAATGACAAACCGAATGGTAATGATTTTACCAAAATTACCTTCATCTATTATACATTTATTTTATATTGCAGAACTTAAGAAAGTTTAGTATGTTCTATCTCGTTTCATATGTATAAGTTCAATGTAGTTTGGTACCTCGAGCATAACTGAACTTTTTGCAAGGGTAAGAGAGGGGAAGAGGGTTGGAGTGATTGATACACTCTGGTGGTTCGATTCGTTGGCTAAGGATATCGCCAGAGGATAGTAAATTTTCTTAGACTGACTCGCAAAAGGAATAAAAAAAAATCCTGCAAAATGGAAAAAATATAGAAAAACTTTCTTTATTTTAATGATCATGGTTTTTTCTTTAATTAGAATAATTTTTTTTATTGATATCGATAAAATTTAATTAATAGGCTATTATGTTACTGACCTTTAAGAAATTTAGATTTTATACTATATTATCACGTTTCTTTCAATTACTAGTAATCGATACAACGATAGTCTTATAAATCGAGAATTGATAATTCGATCTTTATTTTATCCACCAACGTTTAATAAAATAATCAATGAAGCAATAAATAACACAAAAAGTATTAGTTATGATAAATTAAAAGTAACTCATTTCACATATATTCTTTTATTATATGTCGTTATTTTTTGCGCCAAGAAAAATAATACGGCAGCAAACGATTTCTCATTTTATGCTCGTATACTCTCGAACGTAGCGACGCGAGACGATCCTAGATAGAAAGTCGAGAAAAGGAAAAATTGGCAAACGTTCGCTGAAATCATAAATCTTCACGAATTCAACTGCTCTCCTTGTCCGTGGCTGCACGAGAGCAATATCTCGATAACGAATCGATGTATCTACGAACGAACGGAGAAGCTGCTCGCAGCTGCTCGACGAAAAATGTCTCTCCGTTTCGAGCTACACACGCGTGCAAAATTCAAGGGATTCAGAAGCTATTTTATATCTGTTGCCAATTATAGCAATTATATCTATTTATTTACAGAATGTTGATCTATCTATTTACAGAAATAAAATGTTATGAAATATTATTTGTACAGTATTATATATTGTTAGATTGATATTAAAAGAATCGATGTATAATAATTAATTATTCATAGGGTTTACAAATAAATTTTGCTAATGCATACAAATTTATCGATCTATCTTTTAATCCGGGATCTCGAAATGCGCCGGATTGGGCAATGGGCAGCAGCTGGCTCTTGTTTGAATTTGAGTCAGGGTCGACAGGGTTTACCGAGTCTTCACGTATACAAAAATAGTTACCGCGGATTACGGGTTCTCAACCAAATCTTGCAGATGCCGAAGTAGCACGCGCACATTATAAACTCTGTCGTACAAAGTCATAAAACTGGAGGAAATGATATTTAGGCGAGAAGAAATATATAATGAAACGGCAATATATTAAACTTTAAAAATATCGATGACGATTCAATAAACTGATACATATGTATCAGCTACTATGTTTTCTTCGTGTATAATAAATCCGTTTTCACATAATTTTCGGTTAAATTGCTCGTTTTAAATTTAATTTTACAATATGAAGAATTACAAATTATAAACGTTGTTCGAGAATGTGCTAAAAGCAATATCCGTGAATTTAATTACGATTTTTTCGCTAATGTTAAAATAGAATTAAAGTTTTGAGATTATATTTAATTATGGCATAATAAGACTTATAAACGATATAATATAATTTAAATAATATATACAGTACGTTCAACTGTGAAACATATAGATTAAAAATTTTTTATGGGGCTACGAGCTTAGCCCATGCGTTTCAGTTGAACGTACTTAATATAATAATTTTTACATGTCACACATACACACACATACATATATACTCTACGACACATTCATATGTCTATCGAGATGATTAAAATCGGCTTTTCGTCGCCCCGCTCTAAACTTGGTAACAAGCAAGAACTACTTGGCTCAAAGGGACTAAGAAGGTTTGTCATTGCATAACGACTATGATTGCGCTTAGAGGAGAGATTATAACGCATTAGATATCCTATGTGAATTATGTCATGTAATTATCTTAATGTCGATCGAGAGAGTTTCAAACTAGGGACAATCATTGCCACTGTATTTTCTGACATTTAGTATCGACGATTCTAATTATTGATAGTTAAACACTAACTTTAATATATTAACTGCAACAAGAAATATTGTATAATTGTCATATGCTGTTAATATAGAATTTAGTATAGAAGTTCGTTTAATCTGCAAAATCCTTTTAGCTATGAACTGTTCACAATGCATTTCACATTGTTTCTGAAATTTGCATAGATATTTCCATTTTGCAGTATCACATTAATTGCAATACTGCAGCAGAAATAAATACTGATATTTTTAAATAATTATTAATTCAGTAATTTCTGTGAATTAAAAATTATGAATGATTATTTTACTTGCAAATACTGCATCTGAATAAATAAAACATGAATGTATTTATGAATCAGTAACATTTCGTGCGTTGAATTACATAACACGTAATACAAATTTATCAGATTGTTGATAATTAAATTCTTTAGTTTGCTTAAGCAACTCCAATTGTCATGTTTTTTTGGCAGAATATTGTTTTTTTTCCAAAAACATAGCGTATAGTATAATATATAGTATGTAGTAATAATAATATAAAAAAGTATATAATACTAATAATCCTAAAAAAGTATATAAATTTTAATCCATCAAAATATCAACCCAGCATCTCGGGTCTTGTCTTTGGAATTTCCAAAATATGCGAGGTCTGTGCATTGTCTGGCAATTCGCAGTTGTCACTTGGTAGACTATTACTAAGGAACTTCTGCGGAATCTTGAGAAGGATCTTCGCTGCCACCATATACCGCACGTTGAAGCATTTCCCCGTTTCATGATTCATTTAATCGGTCTATCTCTCTCTGCAGAACTCCCCAACAATAATGCAATACATGTATTTTAAATTTTTGTTCTTACTTTAAGTAATTTAAACACATATTATAATAATATTTTTATTTAAATAATAGAATTTTACAAAGGATATGTTTGGCTAATTTCTCTAGATGTACAAATAATAATTTGCCGAAAAGTTTAGATTAATTATTTTATTTTTTTAATCAAATAAATAAATATTAATAAATGATGAAAATTGTCTACACTATATAGTTATATCGCAATTCTTTTCTTTTATGCCGCGTCTTTATCATTTATATATTATAAAGTTTAATTTCGTGCGTTGTGAAATAAAACTGCTCAATTACTATCATCCGTCATTTGTCAGATGGCATTGCTAGGACGAACACGTACAGCTCACGTGCATTACTATTATTTTGTTAGCATTCAGCTAGGTCCCAGGAACAATGGAGCCCAGCCATTACTAGTATTGACTGACTTCTTGACCCTAGAATCGAAACGAGATATCTTTAGTAACGATTGCTGGATGTGCCAGGATCCTGATTTGATCAGACATCCGACAATCTAAGAGACCACGATAAATGTGACCGAAATTCGGATGTAAGTCACATAAGATAAACTCTAAAATCGCTAAAAAAAATATATCTTAAGTTTTTTTAAAATTATTCTACCACTTTTCAACAATTTATTGAATTTTTATACTATTCAATTTTTAACGAGCATGTGTTATAAAAGAATAAAATCAAAATTAAATTTATTTGAGATTAATTAATGAATAATGAAGCTTTGTTTTAATTTTTCAAGAGATATTTATTCATACTAGCTTGAATATATTCATCATATTTATATATATTAAAATTTCCATATAATTCTAACTCTCGACTGCTGCTTTTCAAATTTTGCAGTCTCTCGTTGCATTCCTTATCGCGCGCAAAAGCAGCACTGCAGTTGCGCGACTGTTGTGACAGCTTGCTCTTTTTCTTGTGTGATGTTGTAAAATGATTCCAACCACAAAGGATTCGTTATCTCAATGACTGTCGCAAACGATGCTCGTTCGCGAAGCGCGCTCGCTCATGTAACGTCACACGATCAGCTAAAAAAGTGAATGAGAGAAAGTTAAAAAGGCGCATACGCGAGAATTGTTCGCATCGCGTACATTTTTATGAATGAAATTAGCATACTCCATTTAGTCGCGCGCCTTTTCGTGCGCTTCACTCATGTATCGTTACTTTATTCGATTGCGTTAAAGTGTGAGTTACGATTCTCGGAGATAATACATCTTTTTTTTCTTTTGAGTATAGGTATTTGAATGCTGTGATTAAAAGCGGCATGAATTGTATTACGGCGCTCGCTTAAAAAAAGTAATAAAAAGATATAAAACAATTACATGAGAAATTACCTTTAACGAATAGTATGAACGCCAGTATTGCATTTAGTTGTTGAAAGCGTATAGATTTTACAAAATTTTTAGTAAATTATTTCACGTCATTCTGTCTCAAAACACTTAAACTGTAGAATAGCGATAGCGATATATCTCATAAAACTTCTTTATTTGATTTATCTAAGGATCTTTGAACAAATTCAAGACACTCTGATTATCTAACTAACATTTTACACAAATATATTTCCTTTTTGAGAGCGATTTGTTATTCGATATTATATTATTGTTTTAGTTACTGGAGCGTCTACGGGAGAGGCTGAGGACCCGCGGTGGAGCACGTATAGCACCCGAAAAACGAGTCGATCCTCATCGCCGCGATCCTGGCCGTCCTCGAGTCTGGAACATGCCGCGAGGGAAAGCAGACCCTCGAACGGCAAGCTCTCGGAAACTACACCTTGGAGCGTAGACAGATCGAACCCCGGAATTCGATCGGATCCGAATTTCCTAAGAACGGTGGTTGAGAGATCCGAGGAAGACGAGGACGAGAGGAAGATACGGCAGTCACAGGGGAGCAATGACATCGAGGACGCGAGGACTGCGCGCTATAACCCGTCCATCTCGTCCGTGAGCGACAAAATAAGCCAGACAGATCCGTCCAATCGGATTTCCATCGAGTCGTCGTCCCCGCAGTCATCGACGGTTGACTATCACCTCGCGAAAATTTCATCGGTTCCTGGAAGCTTTCATGACGTAATTCGTACCAAATCTCATAGCTAGTAGCGATTGTTCGAAAATTTGGTCGTGATTAAGGCTACAAATAATCCCAAATAATGTTAAACTAATGATTTTCTCATATATATATTTTTTATTTCAAAATCTGAGTTTTTGAATTAAATTAAAATTTTAAGTGCCAATAATCGCATCAATTATTCGAAATCTTTTACTGACAATTAAATAAGATAGAAAGAGCTCATAAAGATATTCGTACAAATTTTCAAATTTTTTACGAATCTCTGCTGGAATCAAATAAATCTACTTATAATATAATCATGGGTACATTAAACAATAAAATATCGGTGTTAGACTATATGTATAACATGGATTCCTTCACGCGATATCTCTCATCGTAACAACGACATAATAGTCGTAATTATTCAGCACCGCTTCCAATATCGTAATTCGAGCGATAACTATAATTTAGCATTGTCGAAATACCAATTGCCCGAAGCGAAATTGGACTTCCGTTTAATTAACGGTTTGATATCTTGGTATTAAGAGCTTATAGTCTATTGATCGTATAAATTTTCAATCTTGCGCAGCTCAAATTAACGCGACACGCACGCGGCGATAAAAACCGCCGTGAGAAGTTTTCAAAATTACTCGTAAAAGAGGAAAGATCTTTCACTAAATCACAAATTTTTTATTTGTTGAAACGCTGTTGTATACATTATGAAAGAGTCGTATACTGCTTCAGGCGTGACACGATGTTATAAATTTAAATGTGATTTTACAATGTGTACAGATAGTGGCGACGTCCGAGACGCGACTATTATCTAAGACGCTTTCGCGCGAGAACTTGAAAAATACGATACCGATGACGACCTCCATCGCGAAAGACATCATGATGCCACGACGTCAGATGAGACACGTTCCGGACAAATGCGACAAGTTTAAAATCGGAGAGCTAGCAAAGAGGGAATTTTATAGCCCGAATTATCCGGATCAATATCCAAACCTCACCGACTGTATTCGAGTTTTGGAAGGTAAGTGGTTTTGTTATAATATAAATAATTAAGTTTTTGAACTGAAAAATAACAAATAAAAATTGACAGGAAAAATAGAACCTTAATAATAATTTTGTCGATAATTGCAATAAGTAATATTTGTATAATAATAAATATTTTATTTGACCGCATAATAAATATGGAAAAGGAAAATAAAACATGATCTGCAATTAAAGCGAATTTTGTGTTTGCGAAGACACTATAATATTTGAATTAATCGTCGAAGATAAATAATTTAGCTGGCAATCGCGGTTTGTGTTAAACCGCCGCGTTTGCAACGCTGACTGGAATATCGTGAGTGCAATCACTTTTGCGGCGATGGTTCGATGATCAATAATCGATTCCCCACACGTACATATCGTATCTCTCCGAGAAATCGATTTTCAAGCTTCGAGGGAACTTTTACAAGATTGCCCGCGGTAAGAACACGCTAGCCAGATTTCACTTTACTGCCGCGCACCGTTCGCCGATAATGCGAAGAAAAAAGGCGAGCGTGTCAGAAAGGTGAACTCTTTCTAGACGAGGGGAACCTTTGATCCGCGATTCTCTCGTATCTCGGAGCAAATGTTTTGAACAAACATCATTTCATTTTGAGTAAAATCCTGGCTAAGTAAAGAGCGTTAGACGCGACTTATTTTTCGTGCATGGAACATATAATAGGGTGATCAGGGGTTATCACTGATGGTCTCCAAAATATAAACATAATATACTATGTACATTATTACAATCCACATCTCTATTACAAAATTTTGTCACAAAATGTGACATGTGCTATCTTATGTATGCTAGATTTTTTACTTATTATACTAACAATACTCATATAATATTAAATCATACATCGATAATTTATCTTGTCCAGTGACTTTATAATGATGGATCAAAATTTGCAGACGTATTTTTACATTAATTTGTAACAAATGATGAACATGGAATACGATTTAATTTCTTGATAAAAATCTTTGTAAAATAGCTAACTATTAGATTGAAAGATACGGTACAACTGCAATTGTAGAACTAAACAAAGAAAACTCCATAAAACGATTCATTGAAAAATAACAATATTTATCTACAAATATTTTTTTAGTTTTTAAAAAAGAAGATGTCAGACACGATTTCAAACATGATATTTCTGAACAATACGCTACAATATTTTTCTTACTTAAGTCAAGTAATAATAAAAACATAAATGATAAGAAAAATATTTGGAATTATTTGAAATAATTTGTTTAGTTGATGATGGATTATGATGCATAAAGCTGATCGAGGAATAATGACAAACCGAATGGTAATGATTTTACCAAAATTACCTTCATCTATTATACATTTATTTTATATTGCAGAACTTAAGAAAGTTTAGTATGTTCTATCTCGTTTCATATGTATAAGTTCAATGTAGTTTGGTACCTCGAGCATAACTGAACTTTTTGCAAGGGTAAGAGAGGGGAAGAGGGTTGGAGTGATTGATACACTCTGGTGGTTCGATTCGTTGGCTAAGGATATCGCCAGAGGATAGTAAATTTTCTTAGACTGACTCGCAAAAGGAATAAAAAAAAATCCTGCAAAATGGAAAAAATATAGAAAAACTTTCTTTATTTTAATGATCATGGTTTTTTCTTTAATTAGAATAATTTTTTTTATTGATATCGATAAAATTTAATTAATAGGCTATTATGTTACTGACCTTTAAGAAATTTAGATTTTATACTATATTATCACGTTTCTTTCAATTACTAGTAATCGATACAACGATAGTCTTATAAATCGAGAATTGATAATTCGATCTTTATTTTATCCACCAACGTTTAATAAAATAATCAATGAAGCAATAAATAACACAAAAAGTATTAGTTATGATAAATTAAAAGTAACTCATTTCACATATATTCTTTTATTATATGTCGTTATTTTTTGCGCCAAGAAAAATAATACGGCAGCAAACGATTTCTCATTTTATGCTCGTATACTCTCGAACGTAGCGACGCGAGACGATCCTAGATAGAAAGTCGAGAAAAGGAAAAATTGGCAAACGTTCGCTGAAATCATAAATCTTCACGAATTCAACTGCTCTCCTTGTCCGTGGCTGCACGAGAGCAATATCTCGATAACGAATCGATGTATCTACGAACGAACGGAGAAGCTGCTCGCAGCTGCTCGACGAAAAATGTCTCTCCGTTTCGAGCTACACACGCGTGCAAAATTCAAGGGATTCAGAAGCTATTTTATATCTGTTGCCAATTATAGCAATTATATCTATTTATTTACAGAATGTTGATCTATCTATTTACAGAAATAAAATGTTATGAAATATTATTTGTACAGTATTATATATTGTTAGATTGATATTAAAAGAATCGATGTATAATAATTAATTATTCATAGGGTTTACAAATAAATTTTGCTAATGCATACAAATTTATCGATCTATCTTTTAATCCGGGATCTCGAAATGCGCCGGATTGGGCAATGGGCAGCAGCTGGCTCTTGTTTGAATTTGAGTCAGGGTCGACAGGGTTTACCGAGTCTTCACGTATACAAAAATAGTTACCGCGGATTACGGGTTCTCAACCAAATCTTGCAGATGCCGAAGTAGCACGCGCACATTATAAACTCTGTCGTACAAAGTCATAAAACTGGAGGAAATGATATTTAGGCGAGAAGAAATATATAATGAAACGGCAATATATTAAACTTTAAAAATATCGATGACGATTCAATAAACTGATACATATGTATCAGCTACTATGTTTTCTTCGTGTATAATAAATCCGTTTTCACATAATTTTCGGTTAAATTGCTCGTTTTAAATTTAATTTTACAATATGAAGAATTACAAATTATAAACGTTGTTCGAGAATGTGCTAAAAGCAATATCCGTGAATTTAATTACGATTTTTTCGCTAATGTTAAAATAGAATTAAAGTTTTGAGATTATATTTAATTATGGCATAATAAGACTTATAAACGATATAATATAATTTAAATAATATATACAGTACGTTCAACTGTGAAACATATAGATTAAAAATTTTTTATGGGGCTACGAGCTTAGCCCATGCGTTTCAGTTGAACGTACTTAATATAATAATTTTTACATGTCACACATACACACACATACATATATACTCTACGACACATTCATATGTCTATCGAGATGATTAAAATCGGCTTTTCGTCACCCCGCTCTAAACTTGGTAACAAGCAAGAACTACAATTGGCTCAAAGGGACTCGTTTGTCATTGCATAACGACTATGATTGCGCTTAGAGGAGAGATTATAACGCATTAGATATCCTATGTGAATTATGTCATGTAATTATCTTAATGTCGATCGAGAGAGTTTCAAACTAGGGACAATCATTGCCACTGTATTTTCTGACATTTAGTATCGACGATTCTAATTATTGATAGTTAAACACTAACTTTAATATATTAACTGCAACAAGAAATATTGTATAATTGTCATATGCTGTTAATATAGAATTTAGTATAGAAGTTCGTTTAATCTGCAAAATCCTTTTAGCTATGAACTGTTCACAATGCATTTCACATTGTTTCTGAAATTTGCATAGATATTTCCATTTTGCAGTATCACATTAATTGCAATACTGCAGCAGAAATAAATACTGATATTTTTAAATAATTATTAATTCAGTAATTTCTGTGAATTAAAAATTATGAATGATTATTTTACTTGCAAATACTGCATCTGAATAAATAAAACATGAATGTATTTATGAATCAGTAACATTTCGTGCGTTGAATTACATAACACGTAATACAAATTTATCAGATTGTTGATAATTAAATTCTTTAGTTTGCTTAAGCAACTCCAATTGTCATGTTTTTTTTGGCAGAATATTGTTTTTTTTCCAAAAACATAGCGTATAGTATAATATATAGTATGTAGTAATAATAATATAAAAAAGTATATAATACTAATAATCCTAAAAAAGTATATAAATTTTAATCCATCAAAATATCAACCCAGCATCTCGGGTCTTGTCTTTGGAATTTCCAAAATATGCGAGGTCTGTGCATTGTCTGGCAATTCGCAGTTGTCACTTGGTAGACTATTACTAAGGAACTTCTGCGGAATCTTGAGAAGGATCTTCGCTGCCACCATATACCGCACGTTGAAGCATTTCCCCGTTTCATGATTCATTTAATCGGTCTATCTCTCTCTGCAGAACTCCCCAACAATAATGCAATACATGTATTTTAAATTTTTGTTCTTACTTTAAGTAATTTAAACACATATTATAATAATATTTTTATTTAAATAATAGAATTTTACAAAGGATATGTTTGGCTAATTTCTCTAGATGTACAAATAATAATTTGCCGAAAAGTTTAGATTAATTATTTTATTTTTTTAATCAAATAAATAAATATTAATAAATGATGAAAATTGTCTACACTATATAGTTATATCGCAATTCTTTTCTTTTATGCCGCGTCTTTATCATTTATATATTATAAAGTTTAATTTCGTGCGTTGTGAAATAAAACTGCTCAATTACTATCATCCGTCATTTGTCAGATGGCATTGCTAGGACGAACACGTACAGCTCACGTGCATTACTATTATTTTGTTAGCATTCAGCTAGGTCCCAGGAACAATGGAGCCCAGCCATTACTAGTATTGACTGACTTCTTGACCCTAGAATCGAAACGAGATATCTTTAGTAACGATTGCTGGATGTGCCAGGATCCTGATTTGATCAGACATCCGACAATCTAAGAGACCACGATAAATGTGACCGAAATTCGGATGTAAGTCACATAAGATAAACTCTAAAATCGCTAAAAAAAATATATCTTAAGTTTTTTTAAAATTATTCTACCACTTTTCAACAATTTATTGAATTTTTATACTATTCAATTTTTAACGAGCATGTGTTATAAAAGAATAAAATCAAAATTAAATTTATTTGAGATTAATTAATGAATAATGAAGCTTTGTTTTAATTTTTCAAGAGA